TAATCCACATATATCACTTCTAAATAATTTTCCTTCATGATAGACATTTTCACTGATCTCATTTGAATATTTTACCCCAAATATTCTAACTTTATAAAATTAATTAAAATTAAGATTTTGTACTCTCATCTTTTTTGTTTTCACTAAAACTCCATTATTTTGAGAGTTTAATATATTTCTCTCTCTTTCGCACTAAACCTCGAATGATTAATGAGATAATAAGATTATTGAAAAACTCATTTATCATAACTATATGATAAATTAATAAGTTGACTAATAATAGACTGATCACTTTAATTGGAGTCTACTAAACCATTTACCTATTAGAAAAGTCATAACATAAGGTTATATTAAAATGATTTTTAATTAAAGAAAAAAAAAAGTCAAACATTAATATTTCAATCTACAATAAAGATATAAGTCTAAATATAAATAATCTTTTTATTTACATTATTTTAAATCATAGGTAAAATAGGTAAAACTCTTCTTCGTGTCTTGCTTACTCAAATTCTTCTTTATGGATTTTGTAAATTAAATAAAATTAACAAATAAAAAAATGTAAATTACACCATTTAATCTATCAAATAGAACATGTTCATAGTTAAAAAGTTTGTCTACTTTACATGATGAATTCGAAGAGTACTCATAATTTTTAGCACATAATTCCTTAATTGTTTCTGTTATACTATACTCAGCTCAACATATTTTTTGTCCAAAGCAAAGGTCTACTAACTTTTCAGAAAACACAAAATTTTGAGCAAATGTGAATCCTCATATTCATCATTATTTCTTCTAACACAATTTGTACTTTTTTTAACTTTGATAACGCATTTTGAAAAACAATTCACAACTTCTTGAACAATAAAAGCTTCTATAATTAACCCTTCAGGATGAGCTTTATTTCTCATATATGATTTCAAAAGGCGTACAAAAACATTCAATTGGATAGATCTATTGAGTTGCAATTGATTTTTTGAGTTGATCGAACTTATTCAGATATAAAGTCTTACCACATGATTCATAAAAAAATGATTACCTAAAGTAATGCTTCACAAACCTCTTTACTTAGCACACATTTTAGTCCATAAATCTTACGCTCTTTATGTTTACACACTAAGAAGTATTAGACAAATAACGATTTAGAACTTTCAAGTTGGCCAAAAACTCACAAAATACTTGGCTCATCAAGTGACAAAAAGGTACATATAGGATTAAACAAGTATTTACCATAGTAGTAAGAATGGCATGAAGTTCAAGTCGTATATCCATATATTATAAATCAAAACAAGCATTTATATGGTCTTTTATCTTTCCTTAAGTAGTGTTCCAAGAGACTTTTACACATGTTTTTCTGAACATGCACAACATCTAAATTATTTTGAAGTTTAAGATCCTTATAATATTTTTAGTTTAAAATAATTTTTTTCTTCCAATTACCTAGCAATAGTGATGTGAGCATGAATGGTTTGAACTATTCAAACAACCAACTAAGTCAACGAAAGAATCGGCCAATAAAGAGTCCAAAATTGCATAACCCATGAGAGACTTTTTCCTACTCAAGAGAGATCTTTCTCTCAACAATAAAATTTTTTTTTTCTCTCCATATATTTCTCAACTGGAAAAAAGGAAACCATGATCAAGGAATTTTAGAAATCCATCAAGGGAGAATTAAAGTAATATTTTTTCAAGTTTCCAAGACAAGATCATTTATAATTGTGTATTTCATACGCAATCAGGATTGTTTTTGCTTTAGTTTTTGTTAGTTTTGAGTAATTTTTATTAGTTTTTCATTTAATTTTAGTTTATTTAGTCACTTTAATTTATTTTATGAATTTTAGGTGATCTTGGGAGAATTTGAAAAGTTTTGGATGAAGGTACAAAAGGGTAGAAACCTGCACTGGCAGATGCATACTCATAAAGTTAGTGATGCACATCAGTCTTGGAGCCTCTCCACATAGAATTTTGAAGGTAGAAATTCGCATGAGCAGGTGCATGGTCATGCAGGAAAAGCAAAATTTTTACTTTTCCTAAATTGCATAGGATGCCTTATTCTCTTTCTTATTTCACTTAGGATTTGTATTTAGGGTATTCTGTTATTTACCCTAATATATATAGGATATATTATTAGTATTATAGAGAGCTGCACTTTTCTACTTTGAGAGATTGTTCTAAGTTAGAGAATTTCTTCTTCTTCTTCCTGAAAGACTAAAAACTCCATTAGAGAGGAGATCAATCTCAAGAAGAAGACACAATCTAGAGTTGGATTTTATTTTACCATTTTTTTAGTTAGTTTTTGCTTTCTAGATTTAATTATAGAGTAGATTTATTTTTATTAGAAAAAATATGATCTCTAAACTATGAGGGGTATTGATTTTGATTAATGATATTTGAGTTAGTTTTTATGTAAATTCATTGAGCTTAATGCTTGTATTGATATTTTGATGATTGAATTTTTTAATGATGTGTCGAATAGAGAAGTTCGAGTTTTTAATCAATGGAATATCAATGCATGGTTATTAATATTTGTATAACAAGTTTAATAATAGATTTTTTCGAATAGATAATCTAAAATTGACTTGTGGCATGTATTCGTGTTCCTAAATAAGGTCGAATAAATGGGTTGATTATATGTAGATTTCTATGGAAGTGTCTGAATAAGAGTTTCATTTAAATTTATGTCCTCGAATAAGTTTAATCAGATTTTAGTATTAACCCACCAATCTTAACTCAGATTTCATTATAAATATTGATATCTAGACAAATTTAGGAGAATTGTGGATTCTAACGTTATTTTATTGATTAATTTATCTTTGATTTACTGTGATTATTTAATTTTCTATAATTTTATTTAGTTTTGTATTTTACTTTAATTTACTTTCATTCAATTATTATTTCTCAAATAATAATTTTTAATATAATAATTGGTTTATAAAATTTGGTCGTCATGGGAGAATATTCGAATTCACTTATTTGTATTACTGATATGACTAATGCACTTATTAGTGTTGTTTAGGATACATCAAGTTTTTGGCGTTGTTGTCGGGGACTCAAGATTTATTTAGAAATTATTCTATTGTTATTAGTTTTTAATTTAAGATTTTTAATATTAATTTGTTTTTCTTCTATCTCAATATTTGTTAGTGTATGACTAGAAATTCTAAGGAGCCACTAGCAAAATTTGATCCGAAACTTAAACAAACTCTTCATTCAAGAAGCAGAGCAAACCGTCAACTCAATATAGCAGAGAATCAAACAATCATCTGAAGGAGGCGAGAACAATAATGGTGCTAGAGGTGCTCAACCTATTCACACCATGAGAGACTATGCCATGCCATCATTGAAAGACACAAGTCCGAGCATTTTGAGACATGTTGTTCAAGCTTAACAACTTTGAGATCAAGCCAGCAATATCTATAGTTGATCCAACAGACTTGTCAATTTGGAGGATTGCCTAGTGAAGATCCACACCAACACATAGCTAGTTTCCTTCAAATTTATAATACTTTCAAGAACAATAGAGTTTTTGAAGATGCAAAGAGACTGAGGCTATTTCCTTTCTCTTTAAGGGATAAAGAACAACACTAGTTGCAATCACTACCATCGAACTCCATAACTACTTGGAATGCATTGGTATAAAAATTTCATAGTAGGTATTTTCCTCTTAAAATTGCACAATTAATTAATGAGGTTGTTAAATTTTTACAGAGAAATCCAGAGACCTTATATGAGGCATGGGAGAGATACAAGGATATGCTAAGAAGATGTTCTTAAGAAGAATTCTCTATTTAATAGAAAGTATAAATCTTCTACAATAGAATTAATAGCCAAGTCAGAAGTATGATAGACACTTCATGTGGAGGTTCACTATATATGAAGTCACCTTAAGAAGCTTATGAATTGATAGAGGAGGTGGCTACTAACTCAAGTGAATGGCTTATTGAAAGACAATCTACAAAGAAGGTAGGTGAAGTTTATAATATAGATATTTTCATAGCATTGATAACTCAAGTGAAAGCATTGGATAAGAATCTATAAAGGCTACAATTATAAAAATCAGTTGTAATGGCAGATGTTTGTGGTTCTTGTGGAAGAGGGCACTCAAATCAAGAGTGTCAAACAAGTAACACATTTACTCCTAATAATGTGCCTGAACAAGTTAATTTTGTTAATAATTTTTGCAAGAAAAATGATCATTTCATCAATACTTACAATTCTGATTGGAGAAATCACCCAAATTTCTTATGGAAGAACAATAATAATCAAGGGAGAAAACCATCACCAGGATTCTAACCTTAACAACATCCTCCACCATAAGAAAAGAAATCTAACTTGGAGGAGTTGATGAAAAAGTTCATTAACTCTATTGAAGCAAGGTCACAAAATTATGAGGCTTCCATAAAAAATCTAGAGACACAAATTGGACAGCTTGCCAATGTTATTGTGGG